AGCTGAATGATATTACGAACTACGGCGGCAAAGAGCTCAAGAGCCCTCCACACCTCACACCACAGGCCTGCTGCTAGATTTCTTCTCAAATACATCGTCTCTGTGGTTTATAGTTTCTACCGCTAATGGCGAGATTAGTGTTGCGCTCTCCATCCCTAGCGCTCAATCCCTCTCTCATTTTCCGATGCCCAAACCTTCTGAAGACCTCGCACCCAATGCTCGTCGTCAGGCGGCGCTTCTCAGCCGCAAGGATTAGCATGAGCTTGAGAGCCGGCATTGTTGGCCTACCCAACGTCGGCAAGTCCACACTCTTCAACGCCGTCGTATGTCTGTTTTTCTCCCTTTTCTGAATCTTTGAGTTAATTGAAGTGGTTGGAGCAATTGAAGTCATTACCGTGTTTGTTGTGCTGCGTTTTGGATGGAAATTCGTGAATGAACGGACATATAGATGAACACGAGTGCCATACCAGAGCTTGTCTTACTGTCTATTTGCATTGCGTTGGAATAATGAATTATTGTGTGCTTTAGGATGCTTTAGTGTTGAAATGTTGGACAAAAGCTGTTAATCTATGTGAAACAACCTGAGAATTGGAATTCTGTTGAAAATAGAAGCTTTTCTCTTACACTGAGCTAAAGTTTTGGTGCTTTTTACTAATTACATTATGTTATCCGACTTCCTTTGGGTTTGATGCCAATTTGAGCTGATGGGCTCAACTTATTGTTTATGTTTTCGTTAGTTTGCCTCGATTTCTCAGTTTTTCCGTCATGAATATTTTCGAAGGCAGGGATTACCTTGGTTTTGAGTCAACGTCCTACTCTTACCTGAAAACACAGTATAGAGTTTCAGTTGTTCCAGAAAATTTTATTTCTACCATTTTAATGTGGTGATTTTTCAGTTAAAGTAAAGTGAAGTGCTGATTTCCGTGAAATCCCATTTGTATCTTACGAAATTGGTTATGTCTTGCTAAGCTTCAAAGTCTTTGAAATTTGATTGTATTTTTGTAGGTTGAAAATGGAAAAGCTCAGGCTGCGAATTTTCCCTTCTGCACAATAGAACCAAATGTTGGGATCGTTGCAGTTCCCGATCCACGTCTTAATGTGCTTTCTGAGCTCAGCAAATCTCAACGAGCAGTCCCAGCATCTATAGAGTTTGTTGATATTGCAGGTCTCGTGAAGGGAGCTAGTCAAGGGGAGGTGAAGCTTTTTGATCTGACCATATAGATACTGTTTTATAAACTTTTAGTGTTGCCATTTCTGATAGATTATTGTCTAGTGGTTTAATCTAATGATGTTTTCTATGTCTTGTTATATAATTGCAGGGTTTGGGCAATAAATTCTTGTCACATATTCGTGAAGTGGACTCTATTCTCCAGGTATCTATAATATATTATTTTGTAGGTATGTTTCCATTGTGCCACTAAAGCATATTTGACTCGAATAATCTGGATTAATCATTAGTTTAATTTTTTCATTTTGGGAAACTTTCTTGACGAGAAAGCTAGGCCATATCAGCATGAACCTATAAAGGAACTATTATGATCCAACTCTGTTCGGTATGCTTTCTGTGATTACACATTATTGTTTTTGTTTCCATGCAGGTGGTGCGGTGTTTTGAAGATAACGATATCATTCATGTGAATGATAAAGTTGATCCGAAATCTGACATTGACGTCATCAATTTAGAATTGGTCTTCTCAGATTTAGATCAGGTAAGCTGTGCCGCAATTTCAAATGATTTTGGATAATGTAAGGTGTAGGTCACATTATTGACCTTTTAAACTTAGACACAATGCCACATGGCTCACTCCTTAAGTTAAAGACCACTAAGTGGATATCACGTGGATTGTGGTTTGATCATCAGTGAAGAGCCTGACTGAAATACTAGGGCTGAGAACTAGCCTGTCTACTAAAAAATGTGTTGGTGAATTTGGTGACTTGGAGATAACTGAGTATTATATACAACTTAAATCCTTTTAGCACAATCCATGTGGATGCAATTTTGAGGGTTGAAGGTAGAGAGAGAGGCCTATCCATCTGGGTTTATCACTATATTTTATCTTCAGTTCTCTCTTGTTTGTTTAGGGAAGAACTATGGACCATAGACAACTATTTTAAACTGATTTTGTGTCTCTACAAGAGTTGCAGGTAGAGAAAAGAATGGATAAACTCAAGAAGGGTAAAGCGAAAGACCCACAATCCAAAATGAAGGTGCAGTATGCAGCTTTCAGATTCTTATTTTTGATCAGCTATTATTATTTGGTAATGATCCTGTGTCTCCTGTTGTAATATGCTCATACCAGGAGGAAGCAGAGAAGTCTGCACTGGGAAGAATCGAGCAGGCACTGATGGATGGAAAACCAGCACGATCAGTTACCTTAACAGATTTCGAGAAGGATGCTGTAAGGCACCTCTGTTTACTTACAATGAAACCTGTCATATATGTAGCAAACGTGGCAGAATCTGATCTTGCTGAGCCTGAAAGCAATTCTCATGTTAAAGAAGTTATGAACCTTGCTTCTGAACTGCAGTCTGGAATGGTAACCGTCTCGGCCCAGGTCAGAAAACCTTTTTTTTTGTGTGTGTGTATTCAATTAACTTTCTGTCATTTTCTTTTGGAAAGGCGATCAATAGTATCCTTTTTCTTCGGCATTTTGAATTCGTATTTTCATGTAGGTTGAGGCAGAGCTTACTGAACTTCCTCCAGAGGAAAGAATTGAGTATTTGACATCCCTTGGCGTTAGCGAGAGTGGGCTGGGAAATCTGATTAGGGCGACATACAACCTTCTCGGACTGCGTACTTATTTCACTTCAGGCGAGAAGGTCAATAAATAAAAAAAAAAAAGTCTTAGGATGATGGATGTTACTTTTGCCTTGGTCATTTGCACAATCTTATTGTTATTCTTTTTATAGGAAACAAAAGCTTGGACCATACGATCAGGTAATGCCCTTTTTTCCTTATGTTTGCCACTATTCATCTTTAAGTGGTCTATTTGTATATAGCTAGGCCAGAACGATATCTGTGTTTGTATGTGGATAGCTTACTCGTTTAGGAATAATGGAGATACTGGAGGCATTCTATTATTGAGTTTGCCCTTTTTTTCAAATGTCAGTTGCAAAATCCGGCCTTGTAATTTGGCTCGTCTAGTATCTGATATAGATCAGCTTACATGCTTGAGAATTTTGTTACATGTATCGGCCCAATGAGTTTTCATTATCTGCAGGAATGACTGCACCTCAAGCAGCTGGTGTTATACATTCCGATTTCGAGAGAGGCTTTATTAGAGCGGAAACGGTATTTTTCCCTTTTTCAACACAAGTCCTATTATTTGCTTTGCACTTAATGTGGCCTATAAAAAAAGGACATGGAAAGCAAACATTCAGTATTACATCATTCATTGTACCTTTCAGCTTTTTTAAACCAAGTGGTTGTCTTCAGGTTGCATATAATGATTTTGTTGCTGCTGGTTCACTTTCGGCTGCGAGAGAGAAGGGGTTGGTAAGTTGATTTTCACTTTCTGAACTATTCACTGAGTGAGTTATCAACTAGTTATTTTATTATAAGGCTCTTATGGATACTGAAGGGGTTGGTAAGTTGATTTTCACTTTCTGAACTATTCACTAAGTGAGTTATCAACTAGTTATTTCATTATAAGGCTCTTATGGATACTGATAGGTGTAACGAGTGAAAGAGAATGAAATATACAATTTTATTTAATAGTTATTAATAACCAGAAGCTTGGAGCTTTCCGGCAGCAGAATGGTTCTGCCCAGCACGAAATACTTAAAGCTATTCCATTACAAATATTATTCCTCACACTGCCTCTACTAGAGATCTCATATATATATTAAACAAGTGTCTATAAAGGTAGCCATAAAAGCAAGAAAATGTCCCAAAATTCTCCCCATCTATGCCTTTTATCTCTCGTTCTTTTTAAGATGTTTTACGTATTTATGAACTAATCTATATTGACGTTCATGCAGCTGAGATCAGAGGGAAAAGAGTACGTGGTGCAAGAAGGAGATGTGATGCTATTCCGGTTTAATGTCTAAATGACATGAGGATAACTGGGCTTCCTATTGCTTGATCAAGTTGGTCGATATCAAGAGCTTTTGGGAATTGCATGAAGACAAAGATGAAAGAACCTTTCAACAAGAAAGACCGATTCTTGGTGACTAAGTCCTCAACATACTGTTTAAGTGTTTATAAGATGTGGTTCGACTAAAATCAAGTATTCACTTCAAAAGGTTGCTCATTCATACTTGCAAATAGGGAACATTTTTATTTAAACTTCTATCCAGATGAGGGATTGTCTGTAGTAGTTTCTTCCTGCCATTTGAAGTTATGTTTAGTCTTACACATTTTTGGTTGAGATGCATTGTTTTATCAGGCCACTAGCATGTTTAGTCTTACACATTTTTTTATATATTAATTATAAAAAATCAAATCTGAACATGTGTCAATACGAAGCACCAATTTATGTCAAATAAATTTATGAAGCACACAAGCCAACCACTTATGCTCAGTGTATTCGAGAATTATATATAGAGGCGATGTTACATTTTTAACACGTATTAATACACATGACTATCTAATTGTTATGGTAATTAACTGATAGTTAAAAATATTAAGTACAAAATTAATTTGTTAATGCATAGAAATAATGGTTTTATATTTTTTTAATTATATAAAATAAAATATACACAAACAAGTAATAATTATTTCGGTTTTTTTTATCCAATCGATAGTTCTATTATTAAATAAAATTATCAAGAACGGAAAAGTGAAAATGATTTTATGCGGAAAAAACCCCGAATCGTCAAGACCTAAAAATAAAGCCTCCGATCAAGTCGCCGTTGCCTCACTTCCGCAGGCACCGCCCTGCCGCGGCGTCGACTTCACTAGTGGCAGGTGAGTCTCTTCCCCCGATCCCTGCAAACTGGCGAGGCGCTTCTCCGAATCTTGGTGGCCATGGTGGTGCTATTGCAGGGTTCCTGCGTCGGGTGGATAGGCTCTTGGTCGCCGTCGCCGTGAGGTTCGTGTCGATGTAGCTTCCTGGGCCATCCCGTCTTCTAGTGCTATGGCGGGTGGTCTGACGATGGGTGCTTTCGGTTGTCGTTGGTGAACAACAGACGGCTCCCGGCCGGTTTGGTGGGTCTCGGAGTGTTTCCGACAGGAAGAGGTTCGGTTCACGCGTGGGGCTCGATTGTCTGCTGCGGGAGTGGAGGGCTTTTTATTGTTACCTTATTTTCTTTGGTGTTGTGTTTATATGTTGTTTTTGCTTGTTGTTTAGTGTTTGTAGTTGTTGTGTTGATGTCTTTTTTCCTGTTTGGGAGCGTGTGTGTTTTAGTTGTTGTGTTGATGTTTTTTCTTCTGTTTGGAGCTGTATAGTTTGTTGTATTGTGAACTAGTGTGTACCCTGCACGGAAACAATATTAAATCTACAATATTATAAATAGACCTCGAGTTTGAGTTACTAAGTGGAAACTACTATTGATTTTATTTAAAAAGAGGAAGAAAAAAAATAATTATAAATTAAAGAGGAGGATAAACAATACTTAATAATTATAAATTAAAAATTTGGGGTCAAACAATGTAAAATTATTTTGTATAAGAGAAAATAAAATTTGCATTATTTTGTATAAGAGAATATAAAATTTGGACCTTTAATATTAAAACACCTAAAATGTTATATTAGTATATGTAAAAATATTCAAAATTTTCTATATTATTTTTGCAAGATGTGAAGTCACCTACAACTTTTCTAAACAATTTTAGAAGAAAAATATATCTAAAAACATTTGAATTTAACATTGTGTAAAAAAAAAATTTCTAGACTGTTTTGTAGAGAAAACATGTCTACAAATATTTAAATTTAACATCAATTATGTATATGTGTGTGTATATATATATATAGACAAATATGTATAAAAAAAAATGTCTAAACAATTTGTTTAAAATATCTAAAATATTATAAGACTAATTTAATAATGACATTCAGATGATACGAATTTATGGTCCATCTAACAAAATTTGATTACACACAATTTCAAAATTATTATTATATTTTTACGTTGTTTTCGAGGATGTATTGTTAGTTTATAATATTTGTAAAAATATTAGTAATTAGACCAATGAAAATTAGCATGAGTTCGTGTTTTTTTTAATAAGGGATGAGATTTTGAGTACCATAAAATTCGTATTTTTTTTTAATAAGGGATGAGATTTTGAGTACCATAAAAATAAAAACAGGTAAAAGAAATACAAATATTTATTGTCAACGGCGGTTTTGAATACAAAAAAATAGGAAAATGAAAAACAAATATATACTGTCACCGGAGGGCGATTTTGAGTACCAAAAAAACAGGAAAAAGAAAAACAGATATATACGGTTTTTGAGTACGAAAAAAAAGGAAAAAGAAAAACAGATATATACACCGCCTATTCAAAATTGACCAACTATTACTATATATAAGATACATTTAATGATATTGGCGGGAAAATCTTGCTAAATTTGTAAAAAAAATTATTCTTTTTATATAATGATAGATGTGTCAGTGTAGGTAATTCTAGGCTACCTCCGTGTAGGCCTCTTGAATTCAGCTGGTTGGTTGCTTGGCTGTGGCTATTGTCCAGCTGTAATTTTAAGTATTTATAAAATTTTTATGGTTCCAAAAAAATAAAAATAAAAAGAAGAAAAAAAGAAAGAAATTAATTTATATGCAATTGGCCATACTAGACATGAAAAAAAAAACAAAAAAAAAAAGGAAGAAGAAGAAGGAGGAGGTGCTGACCTGGAAATAGGAGGAATGGTGACGTCATGAGAGGAAAAATATGGAGGAGATTGATGAGAGGNTTTTTTTTTTTTTTTTTTTTTGAGTAATTGGTCCTTCTTTGGATGACAGAGCACCAAAAAATGAAAAATTGTGTGCTGATAGTTTGATGATTGGAGTCATTGGACCACACATGTCGCTACCACTACCTAATTGTCCTATCAGTGCCTGTTCAGTCCTTTTGGGCCTGTAAAACCCTGGAGCCTTCCATGGCAGGCAATGGCGGCCTGCCAACACTAGGCCGCGTAAAGCTCGTCGACCTAATCCCTTCCGAAGGCATCCCTTCAGATTCCTACAAACTCTCAGTCTCCACTTTATCCCAATCCCTTGCCCAGTACTCGGCCGCCATTATCCAATTCCCCTCTAAAGACGGAGCCCTCATAAAGTCCTGCCTCGATTCTGCTCGTCTCTATTTCCACCACAGACCCCCTTTCCCCTCAGCCGACACTATCCATTCCGAAGACTCACGTGACTGGTGCAAAACCTCCGGCTACCGATCAAACCCACACTTATGGCAGGAGACTTATGACTTCAGGCCCGGACTCACAACATCCTCGGACGAAATCGAAATCCCGCCAGCTGGCCTCCGCGACCTCTTCCCGATTTTTGGTAAAGCTTCGAGAGACGTGCTGGACGCCATAAGCTTCTATCTGAACCTGCGAAGCTCGCCCTTCACCGAAGTTCTTGATAACGTCCCTTTAAGAAATCGCGAAATATCATCGTCCGTTTTGTCCGTTTGCTGCCATGGGAGAACCACTTTTCAGGGAGCTTTGACTGCCCAGGGAGATGGCCCGTTTATGTTCTCAGACGACGATTCGCGGGTCGATCGGACTCTTTTGACTCTTGTGAGGCCCGATAAAGCGGGCCTGCACGTGAGGGACTTTCATGGTCAGTGGGTTTTAGTGGATGGTGAACTTGGGCCTCGGGATGTGATTGTGTATCCTGGGCTGGCATTGTATCAGGCGACTGCGGGCTATATAAGCCCGGCAACTTACCGGATGGATTGTGGTGGGATGCAGGGTGGTTTGTATGGGCGTTGTTCGGTGGCATTCAAGTTGATGCCTAAGTCTATGACGAGCTTGAACTGTTCGGAGATGAGGGCTGCCGGGCATGGGGTCGAGGCTCAGTTTCAGCTTCCGGTTTCGGTCGATGACTTCATGCAGAGATCGACGGATCAGCTTCTTAACAGGAACAGCTTCGCGACTTTCAGTTTTCCTGCTTCTCAAGAAGGTAAGATTGTTTTTAATGTGTTTACTGCTTTTGAAATAAGTGATTTTAGCATTATATGGATAAAAAATTAAGGTGGGAGTGGATGCATTTTTGCTGTGATATAAGGAAAATTAGATGAGCTATTGGATGAAGAGTGGCATTTCATGGGTGAATGTGTAAAAATTATTTTTCGGTTTATTTTTTGAGAAATTGCGTGTCGGTGACAGAATAAATGAGGATGAGTTAACTATGTTTTGTTTGAAATTTTTGGTATACACTAGCATTTGTGGATGAATCACTTTTTTTTTTTTCTCCTTTTGTTACTTTTTCTGGAATGGATTTTGAAAAAATTCAAAAGGAGGAATTCTGAGAGGCACATGTTGTCTGCGTATTATACATGCATGTTTTCACTTTCACTTGTTCTTTAACCACATAGTATACTTTCTGTGCCTGTCTCACTTAATCAACATATTCAATGGTATTTTTATTTCGGGCTCTGATTAGATAATTAACTGAGCATAATTTTCATCTCCAACTAGACGCAACACCTTTGCAATTATCATAAATCAAAATATTACATTCCCAAGTCCCAGTGGTCCAATTTATTGCCGACACGTAATTATTCTTTTCCAATTTTTAGTAAGATGTTCATAACAAACAGGTCCTTGGGTCGATGACATGCTGGTACAGGATCCATAAAACCGATCATACGAAGAACGAAGAAGAATAACACGAGGTGTAAGCCCCTCCCTCCATCAAAGAGATTACGACTCGAGGCCCAGAGAGTCCTCAAGGAGAGGGTTCAAGATATTGCCGACAAAAAGGGCATCAAGCTGAGATTCTGCACTCTAAAGGAGTGTGAGAATCACATTAATTCACTCGAGAGCCCTTGCGCGGGTATAAGGATGGAGATTGGGTGGCCTCAAGGAGTCCCCTTTGTGCACCCGCATGATCTCCCTAACAAGGCTAAGATTGGTTTTCTTGAGACGTACGAGCCGGGATGGTCTGAGACGAACGAGATAGAGTGAAGATCGGCCAAGGTATCTAACTAAACCAAAATGAAATGTTTATCTGAAATGTGAGTTTGAATTTATCTTTGTATTTTTGTTAGTGCTATGAGACTATTGTTTCACGGAATTTCGCTTTATTTCGTCTTTAGGTTATAATCTGCGATTTTTCTTGTTATGGTATTTTTTTTCACTTGAGATGAGAGTGGACCATATATGTTAGGCAATTAGGAAAATGAATATTGAGTAGTCCATCGAGGGTTTTAAATTCTAAAAATTACCACATGTTAAGCCTAATAACGATAAAGAATTCAGTTGTGGAGATAAAATGTCAAGAGGTATTTGTGAATTTGAAGAATGGATGTGAGTTTTGTTTGTATTTCGACTAAAACTTGGCGAGTATATTCTATATAGAAAAAGAAAATGTTATTTTAGCTTTGAGCAACTTATCTTGTGATTAGTGCCGAGAAGCCCCAGGAGACCTGACCTCAGTTTTCAAGTTTCATTGTTCGACTTTTATTTGTCTGAACTTGCAATTTCTGTTTGTTTTGCAGGCTTGAAATGTATTTGATCCGCTGAGGCCTCGTTACGCAAACCATGCCATCACCAGTTGGAGCTTTGTCGTCCTAAAAGTCTCAGGCTCATGCTGATGGTTGGGTATGCATTTTTTTTACCTCCCATGAAAATTTTGTAAGCATTAATAACTATTACTTTTGTCTGGAGAGCTAGGTTTATTGTTTATGCTGCATAAAGGCTTGATGAGTGAAAAAGGAAGTAGAAAGTTTATGGGCTGTGCGGTTTTTCTTTTTTTCGTCTTCAAGCAATTGTATCATTAACTGTGTGATCTAGAACTGTATANCTTTTTTTTTTTTTTTTCTTGTTTTATTTATTTAGTATTTGTTTTACAGAAAGATTCGGAATACTAATTATTTTTCAATATAAAGCAGTGTGATAAAAATAATAATTGGTTAAAATGTGAAAAAAATATTAAAAATAATAATTGGTAGTTATAGATGTGTGGATGGATGGATGGATTGTACATTTGATAAATAAAATATGATGTAAAGAATAATTTTTAATTTAATAAGTATATTAAAAATGTGAAAGAATAAAGAAAAATAAAATAGATAAGAACTAGATTTTTTTACCAGTGGTATGTTCACGAAGAGAACTTCCGCGATTAAAAGTTCATTCAAGCTCGTTGATGTTTGATAATAAGTTAAAATAATCGAATTGGAACAAAATATTAGGCTTGTTTAATAGTCGAACGAATATGAGTTCGTTCATGAACACTAATTTAATATAATTTTATTCATTTTTATATTTTAATAAAAATATCTCAAATATGATAATATTTTTATGTTTGAGCTCAAACAAGTTCGCATGCACAAATCCCAAGTTAACTAAACAGTTCTAAATCTTTTGTATACTATACTATTCGAATACGAAAAATCTCGAACACGACTTTTTTCTTGAAAGGTAAACGAATGAATTGGAAAAGTTTTCGAACATAATCAAACATAAACTTAAAATGCTCGAAGTACTCGAACTCACTTTTTCGGTTCAATTGAAAAACGAATTGGCGATTATGAATTTAAAAATATATATTTTACTATATTCATTCGCGATCTCATCTCATTATTTAATTCTCAAAATTAATCTGTGCTATCATAAAGAAAGAAATAAGATAAACAAGTAATGTCCATTAGCATACTCTTTTTAACTATCATAAACATTTAGCCCACTACCCAAGTGGCCAAGCCCATTCATTTTCGCCGTACAAAAAACCCTAATCAACCATTAACACCACCACACAACTCAACAGCAGTACTGTAGGCGCCTCCACCAAAGCGAAAAAAAAATGGTGAAATTCATCAAGCCGAACAAGGCGGTGATACTCCTCCAGGGCCGCTACGCCGGCCACAAGGCCACCATCCTCAAGAACTTCGACGACGGCACCCGCGACCGGCCACAAGGCCACCATCCTCAATAATTTTGAAAAATTATTTATACAATGTAATATTTAACTATTACGTTGCATACAAATAAAATACATCAATACAACTAAATATATATATATATATATATATATTATACAAACTTGCTAGGTTGTAGTCACCTAAAAATAAATTAGCATCAAGAATTAATTATTTACATTCAGTTAAATCTTATATCCCTATTGTAGTCACGTAGAATTAGCCTCAATCATTAATTGTTTACATTAAGTTAAATTTTATATCCATAATATATTAAGAATAATTATTGCCATAAGTATGTGCAAACAAGAAAGGAAATAAATAAATTCAACTCACAAATATTCACTATGATGGGCAGATGGGATGATATTGCAATTTCTTAAAATATTTGCGTCTGTGAACAAGAGCAACGCATATTTGCGTTTGTACAGACGGAAAAAAGGAGAAAACGCAATTTGCGTTTGGCGTTTACAACTCTACAAGTGCCAAATTGAACGTGTATAGTTTGCCAGCGTTTACAAACTAAACTCTACAAGAAAGAAGTGCCAAATTGATAATGAATAATTCGCCTAGAAAAAAATCTTAAGGCTAGGATACCCTCAAGGCCTCAACATAATAGGCCTGAACAACGTACACGAGGCCCATTACGAGGTCCATTGCTTTATCCAGTTTTATTGTAGTAAGCCCAATGGAATAGTTAAAACGTCATTGCAACAGAGTAAATAAAATTTTAAAATAGTTTGTCATTTTATCTGAATGAAATATGATTATAGAGTCAAATAACACAATGAACACGACATTAATAAACAGAACACTGCATGAAGAGTTTTGATAAATTTTGACTTATTATCACAATTATAACCAAATAAAACAGATGATACAAATAACTCGTGGAATAGAAGACTAAGTGCATGCTTGTTTATATAAATATATCCTAAAAAATTCAATCGTAATTTAAATCTAATTCAAATTTAAGTTAACTTTACTATATTTAATATTATTACTATAACTAAAAAATATCATTTAATCATTCTTACACACTAAATCAATTTTAATTCACTATTCGTTCACTTATATAATTTCAATTACTAATCATCTATAATTATTTTTTTCTTTTTTACATCAAATTCATTTTAATCATTTTTATTTTAAATATTACTTTAATACAAACTCACAATATCGCTCAAATTTAACTCAATTAACTTTTTTTTAAAATTAACCTCAAAACCGAAAAAACTTACGTCCAAGCAAGCACTAATTATTCTACAGCGGCTAAATCCTTGTGAACATTTTTAATATTTCTTTTATAGTAGTAATAATAATAATAATAACAACAACACGAATATATATATTTTTTTTTCTTTTTAGTGCGATTTTCCTACAATTGAAGGAAGGACCACAAGCTTTGGAATAAGAAAAAAACAATATAGTGTATTTTGTTTTTTCAGTGTGTCCAAAATATTTATATATATTTTTTGAACCAAGAAAAGCACCTTCCCTTTTTTTAAAAAGTTTGCTTGTCCTTTTTCTTGGTCATTAAGTGCTCTTCAAGAATTAGGTTTGCTTTGTCAGAAATCAGAATCCCCTTTGGCTTAGTCAATTATTCCATAGTGACAACCATGAAAATATTAGAAATCATGAAATATTGAAATGAGCTTACTTTATTGATTCCTCTTTTGTCCAAGAGAACTCTTCATCAATGGGTAAAAAATAGTACTACTTTCTAAATGTCTAATAGAGCTTTATATTGGACAGTAAATTGAAGACAAAAAACAGTACTGACTGGTCTTTGTCCTATGATCCATGGAGCCATTTGATTTATTGCTGGTGAAGATTTAATTATGAGAGTAAAAAAAACAAGAGAAAATAAATTTGAATGCTAAAATTATATCCAAATAAGTGGGTACATGTGATGCTACAAACTCTAGTTGAATTGTTTGTTAAAAAAGTTTTTTTGGATCCAAAATAATAATTTTGAAATAAAGGGTATAAAGAAGCTTTTTGGAATAGATGATTGTAAATTAATTAACTACAAGGGTTTTGAGTTCGCAACTCATACTGTTGCGAAACGAAGTTGATTCATAGAAAAGTTTTTTTCATATAAAAAGCTAATTATTTACCAAACATTGCATAAATCAATCAGCTAACCAAAATTGATGATTCAATTAGTTATCTGCTACCAGGTAATTCAATCTATCAATTATATGTTATCCCCTAAGTGCCCAAAAAGACATAATCTATGTTTCACAAATACTTTTCACTCCAAGAACTTTTTTGAGCAAAATATATTGAGTAATAAATCAAAACTTAATGTATTCATTTCTAATTTATTTTTTCAATCATCATTAACATACAACTATAATGTTATTATTATTTTTTTCTAACTTTTCAAACAAAAATCAACGTGGATTTAATTGAACAAGCATTTATTGCCTGGGATATATCCATGTTGGCCCAAATTTATATAAAAAGAAAATATAAAGAGAAAAAACTCCTACAAAAGGTCAATAAATCACCAAGTCATATGCAAATGACGGTGTGGGCCTGGACCGTGCAGTGTCTGCCCACCCATAAAAGCCCAAAATATCAGATATTTAGTTAATTCAAATTAATGATGATTTTCAATACTGACAGGAAAAACAGGCTTGCAGTTGATGATTGGCCTGTGCAGGTGGCCCAGTGATTTGTATTACCATCAACAGGTCTTTCTGATACCAACCTGCAAGTTCTTGGGCTCTTGTGGCATTATCAGAATCACCTCACCTGTCTTGAATAATGGTTTTGGGGCCCATATAACAACTACCTTTTTATTAGTGGCAATTCTATATATATATAGTATATTTATTATATATTTTCCAATATACAAGTGGTAACTATTTTGATGAGCATAAATAGTCTGATAATGTGTGTTTGTTTGTTTGTATGTGAATAGTGAAGTCAATCAATATTGAACTGATTTGAGGTTTTTACTTTGCAAATAATTACATAAATAATGGTAACAATATAGATAATTGGTTTTTATCATCTAAGTCATAATTATATGGATATAACTTGTAAGAAAAATGAATATATAAACACATATACATATACATATAAAGAGAAGCAGTTCATTTAATGTTTATTATTGAACAGTGAAATTTGATATATACATATATATGTGCGTATATCAACATTTTCCACTAAATCAAATTACTCTACCCACCATAAGTTGTCAATTTGAGGAAAAGGGCTATACTATATGCCTATGCTTAATGAGGCAATTTTTTCAACCTTAATTGGGGAAAATGCAGGTAATAAATCAACATAGACCACTAATAATTATTATTTTATTTTCACTCCAAGTCAATCAATGTATGCGGACTAAGGTTGAAAGATAGACCAAAAGAATACGACATATATTATATGTGGATCACATACATTTTTTNNTTCTTACTAAGGTTAAAAAGAGATTAATGGTTATTGTTTTGTGTCACTTTCCATCTTGTATGGGTTTAAGATACCATAAATGAATCATATATAGTTTTTTGAAAATCTAATTGTTATCCTTTTCGTATCGAAAATAATATAACAATATTGTTAATGATAAATATTAGTGTAGTTGGCTCACAATGTTATTAATTTTGAACATTTCACTAAGTCTAGACTTGGTATTTACTTTTATGATACTCTGATGTGTCATCCTTTATAGTAGCTCGATGAACTAGAGTTAAGAGACATTTAGTTCACAGCTCGTACGATTAATTAGTGAGGTCGATGCATCAATTTATGACCCAATACTGGCGATCGACTACAATTTTGGCCACAATTTAATCTCGATAAATCATCAGGTAGTTGTTAGTAAAAAAAATAGAATGGTAAATCGACAGTTATAATATCAAAGTTATTC